CACCAGTATGAGTCCTGGCTGCTCCACTTCCAATCCAGCTCTCTGCTATGGCCTGGGAAAGCAGTAAAGACGGCCCAAGTACTTTGGCCCCTGCACCCACGTGGGAGACCCAGAAGAAGCTCCTGGCTCCTGGCTTCGGAATCGGCACAGCTCTGGCGGTTGAAGCCAATTGGGGAGCGCACCAGCGAATGGAAGACCTCTCTCTCTCTCTCTTTGCCTCTCCTCTCTGTGAACTCTTTCAAATAAATAATTAAATCTTTAAAATAAAAAAAAAAGGAAAGCAAATCACACAAAGACTATTTTTATAGTACAGGAAAATAGTTCTCAAAGAGATAAACAAATGAAACTCTAAAGAGAAAAATTACATGATGTTCGGATTCAGAGTCCCTAACTGGAGCTTGATGAGCCCATGGACATGTTTGTTTGCTATGCACTGTCTACTGCTACACGCTGAGAAGTTCTGGCAGAGCCTGTGTGTCCTGCAGAGAGAAAAAATTTTACTACCTGGCTTTTGCTTACAACTTCTTCTGACCTCTGTAACAGAAGGTATTTGGGGGAAGCAGAGACATGAAAGACAGATCAGGAGCTGCAGGACAAAGCATCCTTTCCATCCACCACGGCGGTAATGGGTTCCAGAGGGCAAGGAAACAATGACTCTTGCTTGCTAAGGAAGGCAAAACTAGATATGGTGAGTTAATGTTACCAAAGGACTCACTTAGGTTACTTAACGTGAGGATTTTAAACAGTTAGTAGAAAACGGAATCAAAAGGTAAGTTTTTATTGGGCAAAATATTTTAAATTCATTTGTAGTTTTTTTTTATAATATGGATTTTCCATGAGCTTTTTGAAAATTTTTTTTTGTATACATGGGAGTTAAACATTTTTTGCATAAAAATAATCTTAGCTTTTAATTCCATTTTCCATGAACTTTTTGAAGCCCTCTTGTATTTGAGAAATTGAGTAACTTCAATCCTTTTTTTAAAAATTTCTTTTATTTGTATAAAGTGAAAAAATTCCATGTATTTCACATATACAAATGCAAGCTCATAATCATGCTCTACCCTGCCTTCCCTCCTCCTTCCTTTCTAATTTTTTTCTTTTAATTTTTACATTGACATACTTTCAGTTTAATTTATAATCACCAGCTCAACCCTCCAACTACTGTTCCTCAAGAGTATAGACAAGGCCTGTAAACAATGATCAAATCTCAAAATGTCAGTTTCGCTCATATATATTAATTTGTTTTGTACTCTGTATATTAGTTACCACAAATTAGGGAAAACATATGATACTAGTCTTTTGGGGACTGGCTTATTTCACTAAACACAGAGAGGGTTCAAGGGAAAAAACAGAGTGGGCACCAGGGGACCAGAGGCCTCGTCTTGGCGCTGTCACTGGCAGGCCTGGTAAGTTCAGAACCTCTGGGCCTCAGTATCAACACCTGTCACATGATCATATCTGGCAATTTTACTTTCTACTGCAGCACACACTGGCCACTGGGAATATGATTCAAATCAAGTAATTACGTAAAAGTGCTGGAAACATTTCTGTTTCCAGTTCCAAGCAGGTAGAGGGTTCTAACCAGGTATTGCTATAAATACTATGAGAGCAAGACACAGAATGCTTGGAGTACAATGTGAGACATGTAGGAGACTTGAGGTTGATTACGTGATCCAGAAACTTAGGGATACAGAGGGACTTCTGGTGCTGCAGGTCATGAAGGCCTTTGAGCTGCCCAAAGAAGACAGAACAACTCCTGAGACAGAAGCTCTCCTGTGATTCCTGGCCAAACTCTCTAAAACCAGGCCTCCTAGGAGCTGCTTGGGCCAGAGCCTGAGCAAGGCACAGCGTGGCCCCTGGAGGTCCTCGCTGCTTTGCAGAGTGACTCCAGGAGATTTTGTTCACTGGGAGAATTTGGCAGAAGCAGAATCTGACGATAGAAGAGCATATCATGAAAGTTCTCTCACCCTGCTAGTGTGAGCAGGAGCTGGGGGATCTTCCCTGAGTGAGCAGAGCCCCAAGTCTTCCAGTTTGCACAAGGGCTGGCACTCTGTGATCACACCCACCCACATGCCTGGGTCTCTGGGAGAACTTGTCAGGGGCTGAGCTATTCCAAACTGCTCATTTCTGGGCAAGTCTTCTCTGTACGGGTTTGAACATGCGAGGAAGATAATTCGACCTGTTTGTCACAGAGCCTACCAGGCCTGGACTCACTGCCTGTCCATAACCTTTGGAGCTAATGTTTCAATTTCAGGACCTGTCACGGCTTTAGCCAAATGCAGAGTCATGTGCAAACCAGAACGGACTCAGGTCCAGGAGGGCCTTGCTTTTACATTGCCCTCCTGTTCTTCCCTGATCTGTTTTTTTTTTTTTTGGCAGGGGGAGGGTCATTGGTTGCTCCCATCAGCACTTTCCTCCATGTTTGCAATGCATTCTTTATGCCCCTGCAGCTTGGTAATTAATAATATACCACTTTTTGTCTTCAAAGTGATTTGCACACATTAATTAACCCTCACCGCACTTCAGAGTTTGTGTGTATAAATAAGCATCATGTCCTCACGTTGTCCTTAGGAAACTACGACCCCCAAGGCAGACACCTGTGTCAAGGCCAGGGAGAAAGGGATCGCTGGGGTCAATACCAGCACTTGGGATCCTGACTCCTCACAGCAAATGCAGACTTAGGGTCTTCCCTGGACAGTGGTGGAGGGCAGCCCAGTAGCTCCATGCCCACCGCCATCAACGCTGGCTAAATCGGCCTGTGATATCACTCATTTTCAGTCATAAACTACTTTCCAATACTCTAGAGTCAAAGCATAATCTTACCCAATGCACACATAATAGGAAATGATGGATTATAAACTAATAAACCATCCTAAGATGCTCAGGTCCAGCTTCCAGTAGCCTCCAGACTGAGGATAAATATGTTTCCTAATCCATCATTTACAAGTTACACACCCGATTAAAACATTAAACTCTCACTATACGATTTCCCATTTATATGATCGCCCTTACAGAAAGCTATTATATTTTAACTATCAGGCTCAATAAATCAGGCAGTAGCCATCTATCTCTCTCCTGCAAGTGGAGTAGGAGGCACACTGGGGACTCTATTGGCAGAGGCAGGCACTGCCTCAATTCCTATATCTGGCCTCCCCATGGTGCCCACTGGCCTAGCAGAACATTAAGCCTGAGAAGTGAGCACATGGACCCTCTCTGAAGTTTCTGACACAAAGCCAAATGGTGCAAAGACCCTGAAGGCACATTCAAGTTTCTTGCACAGAGCCTCTGAACAGCTACCTGGGGAAGTACACAAAACTGCTTGCAGACAACACCCCGATTCTGCTGAAGTCGATGAGGGGCAGGCAGATGCCCTGGTCCTTCCCTCAAGTCAATCCATCATTCCATTTTCCAGCCAGAGGTAAGCGGGAAGTAACAATGACCACACATTAGGGGTGCTTGGGTGTCCTGCCTCAGTCCCCATGGAAAGCAGAGGGTTTTGCAAAGCCCCAGATAAACAAAGAAACTGTCCCTGGAGACAGCTAGTTTTCTCAGTTTTGGAGAGCATTCCTGAGAAGTGCAATCGGCAAGGAGTAGAAACATGTATTTTTCCCTATGAAGATAAGCATAGCTATGCAATGGGAAAGAGTGGAAAATTTATGTCAATTTTTGGCTTCTATTCATCTGCCTTGGGCAGGGCCCCAGATCTCTGGGGTGCACAGTCACACTCCTCTGCTATCAGAGAAGCTTAGGTGGAACCAGTTTCTTCTCTGGCCAGCATCATGCTGGCTGTCTGGGGATGAAGGAATTATACAGGCCCCTCACTGCTGAGTGAGAACGAATAGCTGATGTTGGGGGGAAAGGCAAGGCCAGCACAGTTAGGACTGTCCTTCCTTTTTTTTTTTTTTTTAATGGGAAGAGTTTTAGCCTACATGTTGGGACCTGTTTTGGAGTTGGCCTCTTTTAGCTACTGTTTTATAGGTTTGCTTTGCCACTTGCCACAGCCAAATGTGGGTGCTCTGTCATAGCTGCCCTGAAACCAAGCCAAAACTATCAAGTGTTTTTCAAATACACTTTCACAAACATCACCATGTCCTCAGCCTGAGCCAGGAGATCTGCCCGCTGCAAGCTCAGTTGACAAAGCTGCTGCACAAGGGCTCCTGGGTGGAAGCAGGAGCTGCGAGCAGGCTTTGTGTCCAGCCCAGGTTGCTGTATGCACGTGGCTTCTTGCCCTGCAACTCTCAGCATCTGCTGCTTACCATCAGCATGTAGCCACCCCATGGATGCAAACCAACATTTGTGGCATGAGAATAAAGGCAGCCCACCAACTTGACCCACCTGCTTTTGTGGGTCCCACACTAAGTTACCAGGAGCACAGCTGCTGTGGGAGGAGGACCTGATGCAGATGGGAAGATGAGAGTTGAGAGCTGAATGGCAGAGAGGCAAAGGAAAGCATGCGGGCCAACAATGGCACCTGGGAGAACTGATGCTATTCAAAGACCTGGTAGGATGCTCCGCCCCTCTATCCTGTTTCTGTTTCACAGCTCTGAAAATAAACTACCTACCCAGGCTTTCTTTTGAACCCAGCTGCTCTCCTGCACGCTGACCACTATTTGTCTGTTTAGGTTTTGCGTGAGATGAGCCAATGTTGCAAGCATTTCAGAACAGAAACCTGGTTAAAGTTCAATGATGAAGACCAGAGACTACATGGGGAGTGAGGGCTATGTCTGTAAGAATGACAGTTCTCAGCTCAGCTCCAAGAAAGGAGGCTTAATTTGACTTAAGATGAATGTCATTTCGAGTCATGAAGGAGAAACACATCAGATTAAAATGGGCTTGGGGGGGGGCATGAAAATACTCCTATCTATCACTCAGGAATACGTCTTTCAGGAGCCAACAAGCTAACGGCCGGATCACGGAGGAGCTCTCCATTCACAAGTGCACAGCCTCCCCCGCACCTTCTCACCGGCAGGTGAGACAGCAGTCAAGGCTGCCCGACTTACCGATGAAATAGGCCAGCAGGATCGCCAAGAGCAGGGCCGCGGCTATGGCGGACAGGGCGGCGCATTTCCAGCTGCAGTATTTGGAAGGCTTCTTCAGCTTGAAGGCCTTCCTGGAGAAGGTATTCCTGGGCAGCAGGCGTGGTGGCGGCGTGTACACGGTTCCTGAGGTCAAAGGGTACCCTGGAGAGGAGCTGCTGAACAGCGGAGTGCTTCCCGAGGACGTCTTAAAGAGGAAGTGCCTGCAAGGAGAAGGGACAGGGTCAGAACGACCACAAAGCGCATTACTGTATACTTGCACATAGGAATCTAGAGTTCATCTGCCACAACAATCCTGCACCACATTCAAAGCAAATGTGGAAACTGAACTGCTGTCCCTCAGAGTGATGCTAACGATATGATGACGTGAGTTATCATGTATTTATAGCCTACTACTGAGAGGTACTTGAAATATTCTGCCACAACTATTTGCACACTACGTAGTATAATATCCCCATGGGAGAGATCAGAAATTAGGTTTGGAGAATTCAAGCAACTGTTCAGGGACTGAAATCCAGTCCTCTGTGCTCCTCAATATTACCCTAAACTTTCTCCTGACCCTTGCTCTTGTGCCATTTTTGCCTCCCCCGAATCCTCTTTCCTGTTCTGAGACTGCCTCTATGAGTCACGTATCATGGTGATGTCTTGGAAAATAACCTTTTAAAAATTGACTTCCTTAAGGGACAAAGAGACAAAGAAAGGAGTGGTGTTCCCATTTGCTGGTTCACTTCCCTAATGCCTACAATGGTGACAGCCAAAGCTGAGAGCCAGAAACTCAGTCCAGGTCTTCTGCAGGAATGATAGGGACCCAATAACTTCAGCCATTACTGCTGCCTCCTAGGGGGAAACTGGAGTCAGGAGTTAGATCCAGGAACTGAACCTAGGCATTCCGTTATCAGATGTGCGTGTACTAACTGACATCTTAACTGGTGGACCAAACACCTGTCTTTGAAAATATCTTTACCAATCAGTTAAACAAGCTGTCCTTGGTAGCCAGAGCTATGGAGAGATTACACATGTGGAATGGTACAGCAGAGGACAAAGTCCTCTTCAGGGGTCAGGATACTCCACGACATGTCATGGGCCATCAACTCTCTGGTAACTCATTGTTCTCTCTCTTAAACACACATTTATGTGACTTCTAGTGTGACTGGTGACAGCTTGTTTAAAGCAGTGACTCGTCTTCCAGGACATGCACAGCAGAATTAAGGCACAGGTTCAGTGGAATCTAGAGCAGCCAGCAGCAGCAGGCTAGAAACAATGACTTACATTGTGCTTTGCACATCTTTACATTGCCAGTACCCAACTCAAAGGCCGGCACGCAAGGGAGACTCTAACAAGTGAATAGCATTCTCTCACTACTCTGTAGTCCTACTCCACTAAAATTCTAGGGTGTCAACACGTTATCACAGCTGCTTCTTTTTTCACATCTCTGCAACTTTATTGACCACCACAGTGAGTCAGATGAAATGCTATTTTATTTGCCCCTCCACCTCACATCAGTCCTACTAAGTAGGTACCATTAGTACTCCAGTTTTGCAGAAAGGAACACTGAAGTTCAGAGTTAGCAAGCAGTGTCCATGGGGCTCAAACTCCAACCAGACTGACTACACCGCACTGCCCGTGCAGCTGGAGGTTAGCAGTCTTTCCTAGTGGGATGCTAAGGCAGGATGACTGTCACTGCGAATGTTTGTATCTTGGCTACTTCCAGATAAAACCTTGAGAGTACTTTAATCCTTGACAGAGATCAAATGAGCCTGATGTGACTGACAACTATGTCAAAGGCTATTCCTGTTCTTGCCCATCCAACAAAACCTAGGCAACTCCTACTCACCTGCCAATTGCCTATCTGTGAAACCTGTTCTACCACCCTCCCATCACTTTGTACACTTGCAAATCGATTTCCCCCCTTGGAAATACATGAAAGGTAACCTCAAAAAGTTCATGGAAAATGAAATTAAAAAATAAATTTATTTTGATAGTAAAATTTTTGAAAGCCATGCATCTGAGAGGTCTTCAAACAGTTCGTGAAAATATGTACTAGAAAAAAAAATCTATGGATTTCACATTTTTTTAAAAAAAGATTTATTTATTTATTTGAAAGGCAGAGCAACAAAGAAAGAGGAAGAGACAGAGAGAGATCTTCCATCTGCTGGTCAAGTCCCCAGCAGCCACAATAGCCAAGTCTGGGCCAGGTCAACACCAGGAGCCAGCAACTCCATCCAGGTCTCCCACATGGGTGGCAGGGGCCCAAGGATGAGGTCTATCTTCTACTGCCTTCCCAGGAACATTAGCAGGAAGCTGGATTGGAAGTGCAGTAGCTGGGACTTCAACCAGCACTGTGACATGGCACAGCAGCTTAACCACCTGTACCACAATGCTGCCCACCCAATTCTTTATGTACCAAAATAAATAACTTTTAAGTCAATTTTCTCAAGTACCCTGTATACACTAACATGTATATATAATATATACACGTATATATACATACACATATATACGTATATATACATGTTTTATGTCTGTGTGTATCCATGTATATATAATTTTCTTAATGCACCTGACTCCCACCAGAATGTGAACTCTTGTACACGAGACAGTGGCAGATATTGCCATTGATATTCATCACAGTGTAAAGACCAGAGCCTGAATCAGTTACACTTGTGGACGCATTACACAAATTGAATACAGGAATGTTTTGGCAACATGAGAGCAACAAGATGAATATTAAGAAGTTAAATCCGGCTCTAATGTTATTTTTAACACACTCATTTGTGAGAAACAACACAAGGATATGATTATTCTCTTACATATGGGATTGCTTCCTGGCTTCCTAAAATCATACATACCCTCCAGAGGATTTTCCACATGTACTTCTAAAAAGGAAGTCATGTCATATCCCATGTCATGCTCCCCCCTGCCCCCAACCTGTTTACCAATAATGGCTTCCAGCAACATTCAGAATAGTATCAGGAGTGTGTCTCAGGGTCCGCCGCACTGCACGGTTTGCTATCTGCTCTACTGTATTTATGCTTCCTCACTCCCCCGTAACTCTGTCCTCTTGCTAGCCTTCATCGTATCTCACTTCCTGCCGCACGGCCTTGGCATCACTAGCCCTGCTGTCTGGAAGTACCACAGCTTGTTCCTTCGATGATGTGACTCTCTGCCCCGACTGTCTCAGAGACAGCTTCTCTGAACACCTTCATTGTCTGTTTCTCTCTGTAATTATTTTTCTTCATTATCTGTATACTTACTGGGGGTATTACTTATTGTCTGAATTCACCATTAGAACTAGAGTTTTACAAAGTTTAAAATATTCAAGGATCTCCTTAGATGTCATCTAGCTCTATCTCCTAACTACTGGAAGAAAGCCTGCATGTAGGTATTAGACCTAACTTGGTGAAATGAACGGCCTGTAACCCTTTGCAAACTACTTAATGCTAAAAGCACTGTGAGTATTTTTTGTTTTAAAATTAAAATTAAAATTTTATCTGCCCTGTGAACTCCTGTTTTCCCAACAGGTTTACCAGTTTGCCTGTAGGCAAGGGTCTGTGCACACAAGGACAGATCCCCACACAGTTTCCAAGGCCGGATTAAGCCTTATAGCCTGTATCTCTCATGGAGTCTGTGGCGAGAGCTGCTCAGTGCAATTCAGACAGCTTTCTCCTCTGTTTTCTCTCATTTTTGGTGCTTATATTGATTAAACAAAAACACTGAAGATATGAAGAACTCTGCTTCTCCCATGTAGAATTTTTCCCTGGTTGTTACTCATCTTTAGAAATATAAGTCAGCAAACAACAAAAGCAGGATTCTAAAGAAGCTGTCATTGGACTGTGTCCCACAAACACCTCCTGTAGCATCACTCGGGGCACCGTGAAAAAGTCCAAATTTCCAGGTGCCATGCAGACCCAAGGATAGTGTCTGGGTGCCTATCACTGAAGTAGTGCCCTAGGTGATTCTAAAGTCTGCTACTGTTTAGGAAACTCTGCCCTTGCTGTTTTTGCACCTTCCAAATGTATCTGGCTTGCAAAGAACATGGTAGATTGTCAACAGATAAATTTTAAAAATGCAAGTTTTGAATGTGGCTATCTCTAGGATAAAACATCCTGAAGTCTACAACTTACTTTCAAATGATTCAGCAAAAAGATGTCTATCTCTAGCAAACAATCTCTATACAGATAGATAAGGCAAATGTAACAAAATGATAGCAACTGATGAAACTATACATGGTGCTCTTCTTCCAACTTTCCTGATGTTTGCAAAGTCTTGTAAAAAAAAAAAAGGAGCTGGAAACATCCAAGTTTTGATGCATTTGAAGACTGCAGTCACATTCCACGGGAAAATAAAACAAAACAAAGCAAGACTCCCGAGGTAACGGTCTGGCCAGATGGTCACGGAGAGCACCAAGAAGGCTCGGAAGGCTTCTGGTTTCTCCCTCAACCAGCTATTAAGACAGCTTTTCCCCTCAGGGGCCAGCTCAGTGTGTTCCGATGAATCATTTGTGATGCCCCAACTGAACTCCTTCCCAGCAGTTGGCCATGGAAGGAGCTCAGCTCAGGACTCCAGGCATCAGCAAAAATGTGTAGTTTCCAAATACACTTGACATTTTTCAAGCACAACTCAATTGCTCTCAGAATTGGCCACTTGTGCCTCGGAAAGGAAAGGCAAAAGAGGGGCCCCCAAAGTGCTGTCCTTGGAGCTTGCTAACACTCTAAGAACCAGAGAAAACCAGTCCTTGATGTCTCACAGAAAAATCAAAGAGCAGCACGTGCACTTCTTTGGCTTCCTACCCACTTGGAGGTCAGGGGGGATGGGGATGGGGGGGTGGGAGGGGGTGCGGCAGTCCCAGCACCCAGCATTGTGCAGGGCATAGTGAGAGTAGCAAAGGCTGAGGGGCTGATGGTCCCTCCCTCTGCTCAGCACTGTCCCCTGGGTCCTAGTGATTTCTTCAGGATGCAGTGGTCGCTGCTTCATCTGCAGCTATCAGTCTTTCTGGGTAAATGCCATCACTTTTCCTCATGTGAAAACACAACCATTTAATAAAAACTGAGAGTGTAGACCTACCAGCCCAAGAGCTATTCTCCCATGCACTTTACTTGACAGCAAATTAAAGGCAGAATTTCAGGAAGCCAGGCTTCTGCTACAAACTGGCTTGGAAAATCGAGGGCATACATTTTCTCGGATTAAACAACCAGGGGTGACT